AGGGAAAGATGGGGGTGTAGGAATGGAGGAAAGAAGGGGGGGTAGGGATAGGCAGTGTGTGGTGGGGAGAGGGAGGGATTAGGGAGAATGGTGAGTGCAAAAATTAAGGCAGGGGGATCAAATTGAAGTACAGGTTGCAGGGGATGGGAGGGGAGAGTCCTGCCTGACAGGAGGACTCGGATGTGGGACGCCTGGGGCTGGCCTGGCCTCAGCCCTGCCCGACGGCCAGGAGAGGAGGGAGGGAGAGCTGGATCTAAGCTGGCCTGACAGCTGGGGTGGAGGGAAAAGTGGGTAGGACAGGGCTGCCATGCCTCGGCCTGGCTCTCCTGGGCGGCTAGTGAAGAGCTGGGGATACCTACCCCCAAGAGAAAGTGGGGTCACTGCCTCCTAGTAGCTCATATACAGATAGTCTTCTTCAAACGGGATTATGTTAATATGAATTTAGGAACCTTTTAAGTTTGTTCCCATATGGGAGAGTTACATCGCAGCAGGTGGGTATGTCTACAGGTACAGGCTCCCCTCAGTTCCTTGTCTACCCTAGTCGGCAGAAGAGACAGTGCTTTTTCTGACTGAAAAAGATAGAGTAGTTAGTTTATACTATCATAAGTAGTTTAGTAAGTTTATAGTTAGCATTAAGTTCTAGTCCCCCCCCCCCCCTTGGAAAAAAGTTAACCCTGTGGTTTTTTTTCTTTTCTTCTCAACCAAGTTCTGGACCCCAAAGTTTTTTCTTCTTGAAGCCAGGAGAGCCTGGCATAATTAGAAGTGTGATGCTTGCCTTGGACTCAATGTCCATATTAGGGATGTTTAAACATTGATTAATTGAATAGTTGAGTAACCTCATGGATTCTTATTGGTTAGTCGACTATTCTATAGTCCACCGGGGTGGGGCCAGCAGCCAGTGTGCTCCAGCCCCATTCCCAAGGAGCCTCCTGGCACCCTGCACTGCTGCCTCTAATATAGCAGCTGCCATCCCTGTCCCAGAGGACTATAGAATAGTCCACTAGCTGATAAGAAAATATGAGGTTACTCGACTATTCAATTAACCGATATTTAACTTCCCTAAACTGCACACAGTACTCCAGATGAAGTCTTACCAATGCCTCGTATAATGGTACTAACACTTCCTGCCCATACTGAAAACACCTCACCTGTTGCATCCTATGACTGCATTTGCCTTTTTCCTGGATGCATCATACTGACAACTCAGTCCTCCTATGATAAACCAACACAGTTACGTCTTTCTCCTGCTCTCTCACTTCCAAATGAGAACTCCCCAGCTTATAGAAAAAAAACTGGTTGGTCAAAAATTATGCGTACCCCCAGTACCTACAGTTTTCAGACGCACACAATTTTTTTCTACCATTGCAACAAGTTTGTTTAAACAACTTAATTGTAGCCGGGTGGGCGATGACATTTTTGGGTGTAAAAAGTACAAAAATAATAAAACACTGTAAAACTTAGAACAAAAATTCAGTTTTCTCCAAATTGCAGTTATGTTGACGTACCCTCCAGACTTCTCTCTAGTATCCCTAAGGCAGGGGTCCCCAACGTGGTGCCCGCGGGTGCCATGGCGCCCGCTGGGCCATTTATGTGTGCCCGCGGAGCAATCTGGGCTGGCCCCGCCCCCGCGCACGCGGCAGGGGCGCGGC